CTCGGCTCCCTCCAGCCCTGGACTCTGTTTTCCTCCCAGACTGGGCTCTGCCGCCCTGCACCACGGTCTGCCTGGATCCTGCACACGCGGCCCTGCGGCTTCTGCCCACTCGGCAGGGCCCTGACGCTCTACGTCTCCTCTGTGGGCGAAAGCTCTCTTATTAAAGAGACTTGCAGAAGCCACACACCTACCGTCTGTTACTTTGACACATACTTTTTATTTCATACAGATCTACATTCCCTTGAAGTGCTCACGGGGCCGTATCCTGCGTGGTTTCCGTCTTAGTGTACGTGGAACGTCAGCACTGTCTTCTCGAGATCTGTCATTTTGAAATTGTCATTGCCAATAATTGTACGTATTGCGACAATTTCCTAAGTCACGATTCACCGTCCGTCCTTCAAATGCTGGAGACGCTCTCTTGTTTCCCAGTTTAAACACGTTGACAGGCAACACCACAAACGTCTTTAGAAATGGAAGTTTGTCTTCTTTTTCTTGTTATTTTTGTCACTTGTTTCTTCTATCAAATAACAGCCTTGTTGGGTTGGTGAGAGGGAACCACTTGTGGGTCTTGATTTCCGAAGATGCAGGGCAGATTTGCAAGGCCACAAGCACCTGCTTCAGGTGAGACGTTTGGGGTCTCTCAGGAGGGCGAGAGACAGAGCGGGGGACTCTGCCGAAGGATTTTCCATAAACGGAACGTGGACAGGTCCTGTAGGTGGGTCCTCCCTTTGGTCTCAGCATCATGGCTGAGACGAGTCCAGTCATAGCTACGTCAGAGTGGCAGGGTCCTTGCTTCTCACTGCTGTCCAGGTTCTCCTGTGCGTACCCCACAGGCTGTGCACCCACCGTGCCATCAGTGGGCATCTGGGGCGCATGGTAGACCACGTGCAGGTCAGCCCGCGTGAGCCCGTGTCCTGGTGTCCGCCCCGTGCAGTCCGTCCCTGGGGTGGCCTGAGGCTGCCTTGCCTCCCTTGGGCTGAGGCTGGAACAACTGCGGCCTCTCTTACCTTCCTGCTGGCGTCCTCTGGGGAGTATCCAGAAGTGAGGGATGGTGATGGCAGCCCCAGGAGATAATCCCACCAGCAGCCACGTGAGTGAGCTTGGAGACCACGCAGCCGAGAGAGGCCACCCGGCACAGAAAATACGGAGACAAGTCGTCCTGTTGTTCAGGACGCCAGGCCAGGGTCGTCTGCTGAGCAGCAACAGACGAGGAACGCCGGCTGCTACTGGCACCTCTGCCGTCCTGCAATTTACATCAAGTCTGAGCTCTGTGCGTGTGACACAGCGGCATCTAAAGCTGTCCCCAGCAAGGGCCCATGTAACCACCTCCTTCCCAGTCAGGCATTGGCTGTCCGGAGGCTGCCGGAAGCCGAAGTGGAGCCGCGTCGAATCCAGACCCCTCTCCCAGCTCCCCTCGTCTGGAAAGCAGCTCTCTCCAGCGCAGCCACTCAACACGGATGGTCTCAGAGCAGCAGCGCACACCCACCCGCGGCCACCCCGGGCTCCTCCCGACACCCCCACGAAAGGCTGTGTCTCCACCCCACGAAGGGCTCCTGGAGTGCCTGTGTGTGGAGACAAGCCCAGGGCCATGGCACTGCAGGGCAGCCCTTTTCTCACTGAAAGCCTGCACCCTCCTCTCAGTGCTTTCCAGGAGGGGCTCCCTCAGGTCCGGGGGGTGTTGGCCAGAGCCCCACGGCTCACACCTCCTCTCCTGTCTCTGGCTTCCTGTCTTCAGGAGGGTATTTCAAATTCCAAGAAAGCACTTAGTAACTTCTTTGTGTAATATTATGTTGAGAAATGATCATTTTACTTTCAGGTGACTTTTAAAAATTACATTCACAGAAATTTTAAAAAATCTCAATATGCAGCCATCTGCTTTTTCAGCTGGGGCATGCTTCAATTCTGTATTGGACACCAAGGAGAGCAGAGAGCCGGGCGCAGCACCTGCACGTGCAGATAGGCGGAGGGCCCCCGGAGGGCTCAGCTCCCTCCTGAGGGTCCAGCCTGGATGCAAGGTTGAGACGCACGTGGGGACCAGCGGGAGGTATCGGGCAGGGTGCGGGGGCTGGGAGGCCAGGGTTGTGCTCCTGGAATTCCATACTGGTCTGCAAACCCTGCTCAGTGGAACACCACACCAGACACAGCTCTGGGGCTGGAGGAGCCGCGGCCGCCCCGGGACCCCCACCATCCTGGCATCAAGGGTCTCAGACTCTGCTCTGTGTAAGCTCCCTCCGGGGGGAGCAGAGCCGGTGAGATTTGGAGGCCAGAGGGTACCTGGGCCCTTCCTGGAGAGTGGGGGGCACCTGGTGTTCACGGGAACATCCCGCTGCCATGAGGGTCCCCGGGGCAAGCTGGAAGTACATTCGGAGAAGGGGGGCTGCTCCTCTCAGGTAGCCCACTCCAGCCTGTCTGTGACACTGGCTTCTCGAGAGGAGTGAGGAGAGGGATGTGGGCCATCGGGAAACCAAGAAGCCTGAAAAATAACTATTAACAAGAGCGGGTCAGAGGAGCTGGGGAGAGAGCCCAGGCCGGCCCCATCCAGCTGGGGCTCCCGGAGGACGGGTCAGAGGAGCTGGAGGGAGAGCCCAGGTCGGCCCCATCCAGCTGGGGCTCCCGGAGGACGGGTCAGAGGAGCTGGGGAGAGGGCCCAGGTCGGCCGCGTCCAGCTGGGGCTCCCGGAGGACGGGTCAGAGGAGCTGGGGAGAGGGCCCAGGTCGGCCGCGTCCAGCTGGGGCTCTCGGAGGACAGGGGCCGCCCCAGGCTGCCAGTGCTGAAGTTTGGGTTCTCTGAGGACTGTAAGGGGGTCTCAGAGCCGTGTCCACAGATGGGGCAGGGACCTCCCCAGGGAACCTTCTCTCTGCTGGGCCAGCCCACCCCAGGGGCCGTAGACCAGGGAGTTAAAGAACAGAGTTAATGGACAGGATGAGCAGAGCCGCCTGGTTTGCCCGCAATGGGGTGAGGAAGGGAGTGGGGGGTCTGCCGTGAGTGGAGAGGACAGCCTGAGGCCTCAGGAATGCTGGCTGCCTGCCTGCAGTGGGAGCTAACTGGGGGTCTGTCGGGAAGGGGCCTGGCCGCGGGATTTAGGGGCAGTTTGGACACACTGGTCCGGTGACCGTGATTTCAGATTCCAGATGCTGGTTTCTGAGTGGAGCTGTGGACTCTCCAGGACCCATCACTGAGGAGCAGCAGCATCTCCAGGGTCCCTGGGGCCCGGGGCTCTGAGGGAGGCTCCAAAGTCCCAGCACGAGGTCACCATGGGGCCCGGGGCTCTGAGGGAGGCTCCACAGTCCCGGCATGAGGTCACCACGGGGCCCGGGGCCCAGGCACAGCAGCCACCAAGAGGAGGCCGGCATGGACGCCTTGCAGAGAGTGAATTCCAAAGACAGCTCCTCCTGCTCGGAGACCCTCGCTCCCGAGCCACACTCAGCAGGTGACACGCAACAATACCATCGGGGTCAGGGTCAGGGTCAGGGTCAGGGTCAGGTTTAGGGTGAGGGCCAGGGTGAGGGTCAGGGTCAGGGTGAGCGTCAGGGTCAGGGTTAGGGTCAGGGTCAGGGTCAGGATTAGGGTCAGGGTCAGGGTCAGGGTTAGGGTCAGGGTCAGGGTGAGGGTGAGGGTCAGGGTCAGTGTGAGGGTCAGGGTCAGGGTCAGGGTAGGGTCAGGGTTGGGGTGAGGGTCAGGGTCAGGGTTAGGGTCAGGGTCAGGGTCAGGGTGAGGGTCAGGGTCAGGGTTAGGGTCAGGGTCAGGGGAGGGTCAGGGTCAGGGTGAGGGTCGGGGTCAGGGTCGGGGTTAGGGTCGGGTCAGGGTCGGGGTTAGGGTCAGGGTCAGGGTGAGGGTCAGGGTGAGGGTCAGGGTGAGGGTCAGGGTCAGAGTCAGGGTCAGGGTCAGGGTGAGGGTGAGGGTCAGGGTCAGGGTCAGGGTGAGGGTCAGGGTCAGGGTCAGGGTTAGGGTCAGGGTCAGGGAGCCCAGGCTCCATTCGTGCCCGGGAGAGGCTGCGGCAGTCCAGGGCATTCCGGTGCCTGGCAGACAAGGAGCGAATTTTGGCCGTCACCCTCTCTGAGTGACTCCAGTGTGGAGACGCAGGGCCTGGGTCCCAGGGTTGTCTCAGTCTCAGTGCAGCCCCTCAAAATGGGGGGCCCATGCCCAGCACCCCGGGTGGGGAAGAGCAGGCAGCTAGCTGGAGCCTCTGGCCATTTCAAAAGAGGCCCCATTCCCTGGGCCTCGAGGGAGTGGCTGTGTACATGCAGACAGGCACTAACCCAAGTACGCACACACATACACGCACACGTGTACACACACTCACACATGGATATTTGTACATACATACACGTGCACACAGGCCTGTGAACACAGGGATGCATGAAGGAGGCTCCCCTCTCTGCACCCCTAAGCTGCCTTCCAAAGGGACAGGTCCTGATTTCCCTGTGGTGGGACCCCGAGCGTGCCTGGCTCTGCGGGGCCAGGTGATGCACACCAACTCAGGGTCTGCTGAGGCAGGTGCACTGGCGACGGTGGACAGCAGAGAAGCGGGATGCCTGGCGGCAGGGACTCTGCCCTCATAGCTCCTCTGCTAGGGAGGGACCAGGTCCCACTGTCAACCAATGGAAGCCAGGCCCTGGCCACCCGGCCCTGCATTTCAGAGGGGCCAGCACCCAGTGCTCTGGGGTCTTAGTCACTGAATGAGCCTGGGCACCTGCCTGCCCTCTCCGGCCTCAGTCTACCCCTGTGCTGCTGGGCGGCGGATCAGGGCATAGCAAAGGACCATTTCAGCTCTGCCGGTGCCACCTTGCTGAAGTCCTGGCCGCTTTTTCTTGCATCCCAGGGTTTTCTGACAAAAGAGGAGCATGTTAGTGCTTGAAATGGCCTTACCTCTTGCTATTTTTGCAGGAGGCCTGAACGCAAGTGTTAAAAATAGAAATAATGAGGGAAAGCAGCAGCTTCTGCCCTTGAGTCCTGAGGCCAGGACAGGGCTCCCAGGATTCTCTCCGAGCTCGTGATGATAAATGATCATTGGGCTGCATTTGTCCTTAGCTAATTTATCCTCGGCCTAGAGAGAAAGTTTCTGCCTTTTTTTTTTTTTTTTAAGAGGAAAGCTGGAAAGGTGCTTCAGGCCTAATATCTTTGCTTGGTCTCTTTTTTGGGCACTGGGCCCTGTATTTTCCATCTGGCAATGCCGTGTGGGGCTTGTTCCAGGCGCTCTACGGGCCTCGTGCCGCCTGTGCTGGCCGGAGCCAGCGTGGCGATCAGATGTCTGGGTGTGCCTGGCACGACCCCACCTCACTGCTCCCCTGAGCTGTCTTTCCCCTGCAGAGGGGCCAAGGAGCACCCCTGGGAGGCCGTGAGTGTCAGCAAGAAAGGCACGGCAGGGCGGGGACAGGGCAGGGTGAGCAGGACTCCAGGGCGTGGTGGCCGCGAGTCCCAGCTCTCAGAGGAACAGGCCTTGAAGATGCAGGGAGGTTTGCACCGACAAAAGCCTCGGCATCTCTCTTTATTTTTACCTTACATGCACCGCCACTACGGCTTCCTGCTGTAGCCTCTCCCCACCCGAGAGGCATTCCCAGCCCCCAGGACCACAGAGAGGGGCAGGGGTCTTCAGTGTGGCTAAGGGCCACCGCCTGCAGCACCTGGGATGGAGCTGCCAACTACCCCCATCCTCAGAGCTGAAGTCTCCTAGCGTTTGGGCCTTGACTTTCTTAATGCGAGATACAGCTCAAAGCTTGCGGTGACATTTCTGTCTTCGGGTGCTAAAACTGCATTTCCTTCTTGAGTTCCATGTTTCAGGGAGAGAATCATGAAGAAACAGAATAAAGGACTTTGTTGCAAGCTGCAGTCATAAAGAAGGACATGTGGGTGAGGCTGGGAGCCCGGGGAGCCTGGTGTCAGCTCCAATCCGAGCAGCGGGGCCAGCAGGAAGACCCGGCCTCTGTGAGTGTGTGGGGTGCTTTGGAGATGGGGGTGTGTTTAGACTTTGTCGCTTACATGTTATTCCCATAGCAGGCTCTGCACCAGTCCCGGCACTGCCTGCGGCATCTGATTCTGCCAGTGCTGCCCACTTAGCTTTTGGGTACATGGAAGTTCTGCATCGTGGTTCCTGCTGAAGAAGGGAGTGTGTGGCTGTGTATGTGTGTGTGCACAGGCATGCACACACCTGTGTTTACGTGAACACATATGAGCAAGTGCATGTGTATATGCATGAACACGTGTGTGCACTGAGGTACATGCATGTGTGCATTCGCCTACATGTACATGTGTGTGTGCACGTGGTACACATGTGCGATTGGCAAGCGTGTGCACACATATGTATATGGGCACATGTATATGCAGGCATGTATGCACGTTTGGGCACATATATGTACAGGCATGTATGCACACGTGGGTGTGCATGTATATTATATGAGCACACGTGTGCGTCCACTTACAGGCATGTGTGCATGTATGTGTGTTTGGCGTGTGCGTATTTGTTACGTATATGTGGCCACACACGGATACAGGTATGTGTACACATGTGCACGCATGCTTGCCCAGATACAGACCTGCACGCCTCCCTGCCCTCCATCCCGCCTTTGGGGTCTCCATCACCGCTGCTTGTTGATACGTCTTGAAAAGGTCCAGGCTGGCGGGCATGTCCTGCTGCCCAGGTGGGCAGGAGTGGGAACAGCATATCTGGGCCTTCTCCAGGTTTCCTCTGTCAGCCCGGAGGAGGGCAATCACGACGCAATTTCTTACAATAATGATACCTCACATTGCATAATCGTTCATGTCCTTCAAAATATTGAAAATCGTAGCACAGAAAGTTTGAAGGGTTCCACAGCAACTCAGCACCACGAAGTCAGCCACGGCCCCACACGTCGACGGCTCAGTTGGGTGACATGGCCGGCCCCGGGGACGCCTCTTTCTGCTGACGTTCATCCACATCCACATCCAGAGCTTCTCGGTGTCCAGGAGATGCTGCCAGCTCCTGGCCCCAGGATGGGTGTGAGGCTGTGGCCCCGGGGTAGGTCCCACCAGGGTCTGAAACGGTGCCCTGAGGTGGAGGGAGGTTGGGGGCAGTGAATCCTGCTTTGAGAACTGCTGTCAGCTGTTCGGGGTGGATGGGGTGTGGGCTCGGGGCTGCGTCTGACATGTAGGTTGGCTCCAGCTATCGCCCCAGATAGGGTCTGTCCGCAGCAGCAGTGGGATGAGTGCTGGGCTGAGGGCCCAGCGTGTGGGCTGAGCAGTTTGCTGGCCACATCCAAGCTCTACTGGGGAAAGAAGTCCGCTGGTGCCTGTGGTAGGAAACCAGTGCCTCACCCTGGGGCCAGATCAGGGGATCTGGGGGGTGGGAAGTGCTGTCCTCGGCTTGGCTGCTCTCTGTGCACTGGACAATCCAACCCAAATGCACATGTGTGTGTGAGCTCATGGTGAGCAGAGCCTCCCGCTTCGGCAGAGGTCTGTGACTGCCTCCGGAGCGCCTTCCCTTAAAGACACCACCGAGGCCTGGTGGACGTCACGAGTGTCCTGCCCAAGGCCCTGTGATTACTGGACTCCCTCAACCTGCTGCCTCCGACTCTTCCTCACTTTCTAAACCTTCTCTCCGCTTCCTGGGGAGCTCCTCCTGCACGACGTGTCCTGGCTCCTGCGCTGCCACACCGACCACGTCCCTCTTTCAGCCGGTCCCCGATACTGAGCATCTTAGAGGCAGCCACTCTTCGCAGACCTGGTTGCCCATCTTCCACCATTTGCATCTCCTCCTGTGCACAGAGGAAGAAACCAAGGCTTCCAGCCCCGGAGCTGGCAAACGCAGAGACCCCAGGCTCCCTGTGTGCCTGGACCGCTGGCCTTTCCCTCTGCTGCCTGGGGTGTCCTGAAGTACCGGGCTCGGGGGTGGAACCCGCACGTGGAACCAGGACAAGCAGGCCACACGGAGGGACGCTGACCACGTCCCTGAAGCTGCAGTGGCGAGGAGGGGACTGACTTCAGTGTGAGCTCAGGAAGGCAGCGTCCGGCTCGGATTTTAGAAATGGACAGAAACCCCCACGTGGTGTCTCCTTGGTTTAACCGAGAGATGCTGAGGCCTGGTGTCCGCTACCCTCCCTCCCGCAGGCCAGACTCAAGAGGAGGCAGTGCAGGAGGATGGCACAGCTGGGCCTGTCTCCTCGCGGCCCGGATGCGGCGTCGGCCACCGTGTGGTCTCTGCATGCGGGCGGGTGGGCTCTGCAAGGCCTCGTCGGGGAGAAGGCGGGCGCTGGGGCCACATCGCACCCCTGATTCGTGTCCTCCAGCCTGTTTCCTTGCCTTACGTGGGACACAATCACCACCTGCGGGGAGTCCTGCTGCTGCACGACAGCGAGTAGAGGTGCCCGGCACAGGCACACGGCAGGCACTCGGCCAGCGCTCACTCCTGGGTCCTCGTGTGCCTGAGAACCACTAGGCTTCAGGCTTCCAAGAGGCGTCTCGCAGGGGCAGTCTCTCTGACCTCGCCTCTGCCCCGTGTCTGGATCCCTCGTGCGGGGCCCCCAGACTAGAGGCAGCCGGGAGGTGGAGTCCGGACGCGGAGGGAGAGACAGGATCTCCGAATTCAGTGGTTATGGGTGGACAGTGGCAGCCAGAATTACACACCAGTCCCACAGCGGGGGTTTTAAGCACTAATATTTTACAGGTGAAAAGCTACATCTCCCACGGCAGATAGCCACCATCACGGCTGTTAGATGCCTGCGGACCGGACAATGCATCTAAAGGAAAACGGACCCAGGCGGGAAGACCAGCGGCCGCCCGAGTGTTGGCAGAAGCAGGCCCGTTGCTGAATCGTGATGTTTGTAGAAATCGCTGTTTTAGCCACTGTTGGCTCCTCTCAAACTCCTGACCGACCCCAAGAGCTGCCGGGAAGCCCCTTCCCCTGCGACTCCTCAGGGACACGGGCTCCGGCTGCAGCCTCAAGTGACCCCTTTGCAGGAGTCCAAGAAAAGAGAAGCTGCTTCTGTGGATTTCTGTCCTAGATGAAGCCACAGCGGCAGGAAGTGGTAGCTGGCTGCTCCCAGGGTCTGTTTGGCTGGGACAAGAGGTCTCAAAGCTGTCCCTGGGAAGGAGCTTAGGCGGTGCTGAGCTGATGTTCAGGGGGGCGGAGGGAGAGACAGGGAAAAAGCTTAGGCAGTGCTGAGCTGATTTTCGGGGGGGCAGAGGGAGAGACAGGGCCGGAGACACGGGGAACACGGTCCAGAGGCAGCGGGGAGCAGTGGGAGGGAGAGCCAGATCCTTTGCGACACTGGCTGTGGGCTGGGACAACGGGGAGGGTGAGGCAGTCCCAGCTCTCAGGGCCTCTGGCCCAGGATGGGGTGTGAGATGGCCAAGCTGCCGTGGGGCCGCCCAGGAGGAGGAGAAGCAAACCCATCGGGGAGGGCTCACGGGCCTGGTGGTATCTGCAGAGGCTCCTGAAGGGTGTGTGAGAGTGTCCAGGAAGGGTGCTTGGAGGGAGCCCTGGGCGAGTGGCCGGCACGAACAAAGGCCTAGGGTGCCCAGAGCCCTGTGTGGGTCGGAGCTGGGTCTTTCCAGGTCAGGGTTAAGGTTCGGGCTGTGTCTCTTTTCCACAGCCCTTGAGAGCGTAAGATTTCCGCAAATGTAGCTTGCATGGTTTCTGACAGTCAGAAATAATCCACATGGTAGGCTTTCTGTAATCCTGTACTTTAAAATTGGCATCACAGACCAGTGCCCCTGCAGAGAGCAGCCTGGGCCTCCAAATGGAGGAGCCTGCTGGGGAATGAGCTGTCTCGGGGGTCCACACTGGAGGAGCCACACCCAGGCTGGAAAGCCTCTATGCATAGCGGGCCCCGGAGCCGCAGGTCCCTGGTGCAGGGGGTGGAGGTCAGGCAGGCCCTGGGCAGCCAACTGCTGCCCGAAGCCCACCCTGAGGAGGGAGGGAGGCAGAAGAGGAGGCAGGACAGATCCCTTGGGGGAGGCAAAGCCACTTCCCCAGACCCAGCAGTGCCCATATCTGGGGGACCCCAGGAAGGGCCGGCACTTCGTGGACACCCCTCCGGCCAGGCCCTTGGTTCCAAGTTCACACCGGCTCCCTGTGGAATGGTCTGACGGACAGGAGTCTGACCTGGAGAATCCATGCCTCTCACACATGGAGCTGGGCAACAGCTGGGACCTGCCCCGCTCAGCCTCAGGCTCCCCGGAGGCTCCCCTGCCACAAGAGGGGCTGTCCCGGGTGCTTCGAGTGGAGTGAGCTAGAGGGAGTGGGACAGTAGGGCCGCCTGGGAGAGCCGGCCTTGCCCACCACCTGGCCGGAGCTGGACTGACGTCGGCTGGCTCCAAGTCCAGGAGGACACTCATGAACTCTGAGCTACTCAGAGGGTACGAGTCCTGCTGCAACACAGTGGTCTTTACAAAGTGTGAATGAACTGAAACTTCATAAATCATCTAAATTTACAATATCCAAACAGAACTACCTCTTTTTAAGATTTATTTATTTAGTTATCGAGAGAGGGTCTCGCTCTGTCACCAGGCTGGGTGCAATCGTGGCTGACTGCAGCCGCGAACTCTCAGACCCAGGGGTCCTCGTGCCTCAGTCTTCTGAGTAGCTGGGACCACAGGTGGGAACCACCAGGCCCAGCTAAAATGCCTTAAAAAGAATCATCTAAGGCAGGGGTAGAAGCTACAGCTCCAGGGCCCAAGTCAGCCTCTGTTTTTGTCGCACAGGGGGCTAAAAATGATTTTTGTATCTTTAAATGGTTGGAAAATCAAGAGACTATTTTGTGACATGTGAAACTTATAGGAAATTCAAATTTTAGCTCCATAAACAAGGAAAGGTGGGGGGCACAGCCACACGCACTCATCGTGTGTGTCGAAGTCTGCTCTGAGCCACAGCGGCAGACGTGAGTGTTTTCACTGGAGGCAGAGTGACCTCACGGCCTGAAACGCACCGTCCTCCCTTCACACAGCAGTGTGTCCGCCCAGTTCTCAGGCTCCTTGGCAAGGCTGGAGCCCCAAGGGGCTTCCTACCCCCGAGTTTCCCCTGCCCGCAGACCCCATAACCAGAAGCCGGCTCGCCCGGTGCCCTGATCCCACCCTGTCCATGCCACGGTCCCCTTCCTGTCCACACATCCCAGGTCTTCCCTGGCAGCCTTTGGTGACAAGTGCAGACACGCTGCCCCTCGTCGTCTGGGGTCCTTGGTCGCCTCTCACCTGTCACCCAGGTGGCAGGTGCGGCCCTCGGGCCCACTCTGAGGGTGATGGGCTGATGCTCCCGGATGGACGTCAGGCTCCATGACGGCTGGTCCTACACGGTCTTCCCCAGCTGTCCCTGAGGCCACGCCCCTCTCCTGCTGCAGAAACCTGGGTTTCCTATGCCAGGCTTAAATGAAAGCAGCCTCGGGACAGAAGTCCAAGAAAGGCCAAGAGGACTCCAGCTTGATTGTTCCTCAAGCCTGCTCTTGGCAGAGAGAACCGGGTAAATCTGAGGAACTGGGGAGAGGGCCTTGCCCCATGGGCAGGATTGTCACTGCCAGGACAGGGGCTGCTTTGGGTGCCGAGTCCTGGAAGCTGCTTGGACCCATCCACAACTTCTTCTGTGTGCTGCCGGCAGCTGACCAGCGGCCACACATCCTGGACGCGTGGGGATGGAGCCACGGGCAGGGTACAGTGGCAACCGCAGAGCTGGGGCTTCCCAGGGGCACCGGTGGGGCCCAGCAGAGGCACCCATGGAAAGGAGTGAGTCCTCCAGGGCCGTCTAAGCAGTCGTGTTCCACCCATTCAGTAGCTTCAAAAACAGGCTCACGGTTTGGCTACAAGCCCAGGTCTCCAGCTCAGTTCCCTCACCTTAGGGCTCCCTGTGGTCATGGGCAACACAGCGTCCCACGTTCCAGATGGAGGTCAGGAGCGGAGGGGACAGGAGGTGAGGAGGTGAGGAGGTGAGTGGGCAGCGCCGACAAGGAGGGAACCCACCCATGCTCTAGACAGGGTTTAGGAGTGGAGGGGACTGAACAAAAGGAATCGTCTTCATTTCACCTTCTAGTAAAGAGAACAGGCTTCAGCCAAGGGAAGGAGGGTGGAAGTGCAGAGCCCTCCTGTGCGGGAGCCCTGGGACGGGGGCACCATCCCCCAGCCCCCGGGAGCCGCCGATCCCCCCAAGACCGGCCTGCACCTGCACATGCTGGGGGCGGGGGCCTGGAATTGTTCTGCCACAGTGGCCCGGCCGGCAGGGAGATCAGAGGAAGAAATAAAATCCTCAGACCTCACCGGGGGTCCCGAAGAGCAGCCTTTGCCCGGGGCCCTCACGCAGATCCCCGCGTCGCAGGGCATCGCGGTCCCTGTTACCATAAGCGATAATGCAGAAGTGTGATAAAAACCGTCTGTCGTTCATAAAATGTGATGATGCCTTTCTGCAAAGCCATAAGCCAGCCCGGGGCTCAGCCAAGAAACGGCTGTAAAATCTGGCGTCATGGCCTCAAAGCATACTTTCCAATATAAAGAATTTTCTAGGCAGCTGTTTCCAGAATTTATCTGTGTGCAATAATTGTACACCTAAAACTATGGCTGTGTTCCACGTCTGGTGGTCTCTTTAGCAGTTCCTCCCCTGTGACGGCGAGAAAGCGCCTTCTTAATGCGGATGGGCTCCGGGTGACGAGTGACCGCCTCGGGTTTGCTTGCTAATGACTTTGCCATCGGACATGAGCACAGGTGCCTGGGGAGGTGCCGTCTGTCTTTGTGATCCCCCAGGTTGCCAGGAAGGAGGAACTCATGCCTCTGTTGAGAAGAGCAGGTTTTGTCTTGATTGGACTCAGAGGCCCTGAGAGCAGGAATTCCCCTCCCAAGGGCTCCCCAGGAGACCCCTCGGGCCAGGACTCCCAGGGCCCCCCAGGAGACCCCTCGGGATGGGACTCCCAAGGGCCCCCCAGGAGACCCCTCGGGACAGGACTCCCAGGGCCCACACAGAGCCTGGTGTTCGGAGGACAGAACCTGTGGGGACCAAAAGCGGGCACAGCTGGGCTTGCACGGAAAGCCGGGGAGGGAGGGGGAGCTGGAGCCAGAACTGGCCCCTTTGGCGGTGGGGGTGGCGGGGTACAGGGAGTCAATGGCCCCAGCCCCAGCGACAGCACAGCCGCCCCCCCAGGGGGAAGGGGATGCTGAATGGGACAGAGAACCCCACATCCTCCACACCTGAGGCCATAGCCCGAGGCTTTCACTCCAGACCCAGACATGTACCGGCTCTGATAAGAAGTTCCCTGTAATTTATTCTCCCTTGAGTCTGAAATTTGCTTCTAAATATCCAATCTTGTTTGTCTGATATATGCGTTTTCATCTCGAATCACCAAGCCTGTAGATTACACTCATGCATGAAATATTTGGTGAATACCTTTTAATTTTACAAAATGCCTCCTTCTGAAATTACCCCTCCGTACCCGGGAAAACACAGAATGACATCACATCACGGCCACCTTGGAGGTACAAGTATTTTGCAAATCTTTTTTTTTTGAGACAGAGCCTTGCTCTGTCGCCCAGGCTGGAGTGCAGTGGCCGGATCTCAGCTCACTGCAAGCTCCGCCTCCTGGGTTTACGCCATTCTCCTGCCTCAGCCTCCCAAGTAGCTGGGACTACAGGCGCCCGCCACCACACCCGGCTGATTTTTTGTATTTTTAGTAGAGACGGGGTTTCACCGTGTTAGCCAGGATGGTCTTGATCTCCTGACCTCGTGATCTGCCCGCCTCAGCCTCCCAAAGTGCTAGGATTACAGGCTTGAGCCACCGCGCCCGGCCGCAAATCTTAACAATGTTGGCTTTCTACAAGCAAGTGGGCGAGTGTTGATGGACACAGAGTCACACTCTACCTGTTGGAGGAAGGGGACGATTTAATTGATGACATCTTTGGTTCCCGTCCCCATCCTCCCTGGGCCCCTCTGTACTGGGGGGCTGTGGCCTCGCGATGATCTAGGCCCACAGAGCAGCCCCCAAATCCTCTTCAGATTCCTTTCAACTCGGTGCTGTGACGTCTGTGACTTCATGAGAAAGGACGCGCTTCCAAGCAGCCGCTGAGAGCGACAGCCAGGCCGACCGGCAAACAGCCCACAGCCAGCACGAGGAGCCGCAGAAGCCACAGCGCCCACACGGGGGTCTCCATCCCCTCCATGGAGGTGCTCCCTGCCTATCCGCTGGGCCCACTCACAGGGCCCCTCTGCGGACGCTGCCCGGCCTCCCTCACCCCCCTGAGGCATCCCTCCGTCAGGTGCTGAGAACCTGCGTCTCTCACCTGCTTTTCCCAAGGCTGGAGCTTCCCCAGGATGAGAGCGGGGCCTGGGCTCCCAGCTCTGGTTTCTAGCCTGGGACCTGGCCCCTGGCTTGTGAGAGGACTGAAGTGGCTGTGTCTCCACACAGCTGACAGCTTCACGAGACAGAAGGGGAGGTCAGGGCCAAGCCCCAGTGATGAGAAGACTCAGAACCCCATGACCCGGCCACAGACGGCAGCTGGCTTAGTCCTCACGACAAGGTGAGAGCCAACAGCTCCCTCCCGCCGTGGGAAACCAGCTCTGAGAGATTCTCCGACATGCCCAGGGCCGTCCGGCTGGCGAGGGACAAGCCAGACCTAACCCCTGTGTGCTGGCTCCAAGCCCACCCTCAGCCTGTCCCGCCCCCAGCGCTGGCCTGTCCCTCCCACAGCCCTCCTGCTGCCTCCAGCACGGGGAGCCCCAGGGAAGGGCAGGAGCCCGGGAGGCAGATGTGGGCATCTTGTTCCTAAGTGTCCAGAATTCCAAGACGGCTTAGGGCTGAGTGGGTGAGGCTGGTGGAAAGGTCAAGTTTCTCTATAAAAATAGTGACCACAATAATAGCAACATATGCTTTGTAGCAAAGACTCCCTGCGTGCAAACCCCTGAGGCTGGCCCAGCTGCAGCCACGCCAGGTGCCGTCTGCTGTGGGGCCAGCTCCTCCCTCCTCCTCCAGCTCCTCGGGCTGTCTGGTCTGGGGCTGTGGCTTTGGGGCCTCTGGGGCTCGGTGGCCTGCAGCCCATCCCCTTACCTTCAAGGGCCCCTTAGGGCACAGAGCGCCCCTTCGAGTAGCATCTCTGGGATGCAGGGCCAGCTGTGCCCCTGGGTGCTGCACCCTCTGCTCTGCCTTCTCCAGTGCCCCGGTCAGGATCGGCCCCCCGACTCCGGCAGGAGCTTGGTTTGGCTGTCCCAGCCCTGGGCATCTTCTCCCTCAGACCGTGGCCTTGCAGGGCCCATGAGGGTCAAAAAGCAGAGTTCTGGCTGTTTTGTTTTTTGGGTTTTTTTTTTTTTTGAGACAGGGTCCAGCTGTTGCTCAGGCCGGAGTGTAGTGGTGTGATCGCCACTCACTGCAGCCTGGATTTCCTGGGTTCAGGTGATCCTCCGACCTCAGCCACCTGAGTAGCTGGGACTACAAGCATGCACCACCACACCCGGCTGATGTCTGTGTTTTTTGTAGAGATGGGGTCTCCCTGTGTTCCCTCAGCTGCTCTCGAACTAGCTCAATCAATCCGCCCACCTAGGCCTCTGAAGTGCTGGGATGACAGGTGTGAGCCCCCGTGAGCCCGGCCCCTGAACATTTTTTGGAATCTTTCATGTAACTAATCTGTAGGCCTAGAAGTTTGGTCATTGCTCTAAGTAGCTTCTCGTAGAGAACTAAGAATTCTGTGTTTGACGACTGTAGGGACCACATCTGACCCACTCCCTTCTCTCCCCTCTGTCCCTGGCAGAGGCAGGGTCTGGCGCACAGCAGCTGCTCACCAAATGCAAAATCCAAGTTTTGGCCGGGCGCGGTGGCTCAAGCCTGTAATCCCAGCACTTTGGGAGGCCAAGACGGGCGGATCACGAGGTCAGGAGATCGAGACCATCCTGGCTAAACGGTGAAACCCCATCTCTACTAAAAAATACAAAAAACTAGCCGGGCGAGGTGGCGGGCGCCTGTAGTCCCAGCTACTCGGGAGGCTGAGGCAGGAGAATGGCGTAAACCCGGGAGGTGGAGCTTGCAGTGAGCTGAGATCCGGCCACTGCACTCCAGCCTGCGTGACAGAGCGAGACTCTGTCTCAACAACAACAAAAAAAAAATCCAAGTTTGCGCGTCTTCTCTTCACCGGCCACAGGTCACCGTGGTCACGGGGCTGACGTCACTGCCCAGCCTCCCGCAGGCTCAGCTAGCAAGGGCTGGAGAAGCAGGCAGAGGTTTCCATGGAGGATAAAACTGGTGCCAGACGGTGCAGGACAAGGAGGGGCTCTGGAGAAGGTGAGGTTTAAACGGGGTCCTGAAGAGAAGGAGAAAGTAGCCCAAAAAGAGGAGAAAGATGTGTGCACCCCAGACAGAGCAGAGGCCGCGGAGCCAGAGTGAACCTCAGCCAGGGAGGAGGAAGTCATTTTGCCCACAGCTGAGACCAGCCTGGTCTTCCGGCCCCGTGGCCCACGAGGCTCTTCCGACAGGCAGTTCCACACCTGCGGGCCCACCCCACACCTCCCTGCCCGCCGCTCACCAGGCCACAGTCCCTCCTCAGGGCCGCCCCACACGTCCCCGTCAGGTGAAATTGTCTGGCCTGGCTTCTGTTTTAGGGGTAAATATTGGACTGCCCTGGTTCTCTGACGGTGATTGGTGTACCCTGAGATCCATGGTTTTCTTTTTTTTTTTTTGAGTCGGGGTCCTGCTCTGTCACCCAGGCTGGAGTGCAGTGGCATGATCATCGCTCACTGCAGCCTCAAACTCCTGGCTTCAGGTGACCCTCCTGCTTCAGTCGCCCAAGTCGCTGGGACTGCAGGTGCACACCACCACACACAGCTATTTCTTAAAATGTTTATGGAGATGGGGTCTTGCTATGTTGCCCAGGCTGGTCTTGAACTCCCGGCCTCAAGCGATCCTCCACTATGGCCTCCCTCTGGGATTACAGGTGTGAGCCTGTGTGCCTGGCCTAGCTCTATTTTCCAGCGCAGAAAGTACTAGGACCAGAAGTGTTTCAAGTTTCAGATGTTTCAGATTTTGCAATATTGGCACATATGTAATGAGATATCTGGAGGATAGGATCCAAGTCTGAACATGAAATTTATTTATGTTTCATGCACACCTTAGACACAGAGAAGGTAATTTGTTCACTATTTTTAAAGATTTCATGCATGAAACGAGATTTGGACTGTGACCCACCTGAGGAGTCTTCCACTGGTGGCCTCGTGACGCTCAAAAGGTTTCCTGTTTTGGAGTATTGTGAATTCTGGATTTTCGGATTAGAGATGCTCCCTCAATTTCTTGAGTCCGTTTTGGCAATCTGAATTTTTCTTTAAAAATAACCATTCCATTTGCATTATCGAATACGACGGTGGCGGGTGGCACGGTTCTCAGGGACTCCGACGAAGTCTCGCTTCACGTCCCTTCTCACCCCTAACGGCACTGATTTTCTCTTCTCTCCTTAATCTCACAAACTGGCTTCTGCGTCTTTTGAGGAAGGGTCTTTGTTCCTTCATCAGCTCTGTTTGGTTCTCCTTCGCACTGGTTTTTGGTTTGTTCTGTAAGAATTTGTTCCTTCCTTGTTTGGCCTGTTTTATTGTTTTTTCCAGTTTCTTTAACTGAAAGCCTGGCCATGCCCTTCCCTCCCCTCCCATCCCTCTGCTTCCCTCCCCTTCCCTTCCCTCCCCTCCCCTCTCCTTTCCTTCCCTCCGCTTCCCTCCCCTTCCCTTCCCTTTCCTTCCTTTCCCTTCCCCTCCCTTCCCCTTCCCTTCCCTTTCCTTCTTTTCTCCTCCCCTCCCCTTCCCTCCGCTTCCCTCCCCTCCCCTCCCCTTCCCTCCGCTTCCCTCCCCTCCCCTTCCCTCCACTTCCCTCCCCTTCCCTTCCCTTTCCTTCCTTTCCCCTCCCCTCCCGTTCCCTCCCCTCCCCTTCCCTTTCGTTCCTTTCCCCTACCCTCCACTTCCCTTCCCTTTGAGGCAGAGTCTCACACTGTGGCCCAGGCTGGAGTGCGGTGGTGTGATCTCGGCTCGGTGCGACCTCCACCTCCTGGGCTCAAGCGATTCTCCTGCCTCAACCTCCCGAGTCGCTGGGACTACAGGCGCCCGCCGCCACGCCCGGCTAATCTTTGGATTTTTAGTCGAGACGGGGTTTCACCATGTGGGCCAGGCTGGTCTCAAGCTCCTGACCTCAGGTGATAAACCTGCCTCGGCCTCCCGAAGTGCTGGGATTCCACGCCTCCACGAGGCGTGAGCCACGGTGCTGGCCTCACTGATGTTCAGTCATTATCATTTTCTAATGAACGTGGTTGCCGTTCCTCCGAGCGCCGCCGCGGGCGTCCTGTGGATTTCGGCAGGTGCTGTTCCCATCCGTGTTCGCTTAACACAAACTATGATGCCCCTTTTGCTCCTTCAAAACCCAGAAATTACATATGAGTGTTTTTATTTGTGATATTATTTTCCAAGTAGATTTTTTTTTTTTTTTTTTTGAGATGGAGTCTCACTCTTGTCACCCAGGCTGGAGTGCAGTGGTGCGATCTCGGCTCACTGCAACCTCCGCCTCCCTGGTTCAAGCCATTCTCCTGCCTCAGCCTCCCAAGTAGCTGGGATTACAGGTGCCCGTCACCACGCCTGGCTAATTTTTTGGAATTTTAGTAGAGACAGGGTTTCACCATGTTGGTCAGGCTGGTCTCAGACTCCTGACCTCGTGATCCGCCCACCTCGGCCTCCTGAAGTCCTGGGATTACAGGTGTGAGCCACCGCGCCCGGCCCAGGTAGAAATATTTTTAAAGTCAGTTTTTGTTTCGTTATACCACACTGTGTCTACGAACAAGCTGTAGACTGTGCGTGTGTGTGTAGACGCCGTGACAACCTCTAGATTATCTGCCTTTTGGAATTTCTTGATATTTTTATGACGAGCAAAATGTAGTCAGTTTTTGTGGATACTCCGTGTATAATAGAATGTGAATCCTGTATGTGAGGGATACCAAATAAAGTCAAGATTTACATTGTTTTATTCTTGTGTTTTCAGCTTCTTGATCTGTTGCTTTTAATGAAAACAAATGAGTTATCTTTTCAGAGACCCTCAGACTGTGGATGGGGAATGGGTAGCCCAGGAGTCCAGCGTCGGGGCGGACTGGCCGGCCGGCCAGCGACAGCAGCCAGAGGGACCAGCGCCACCCTGCCCCGCCACCCCGCGTCCCTCGAACCCAGCCCAGCAGATGCAGAGCTCACATTTCTCCTGCTAGCGGCTCTCCCGGCTCCCCTGTGAGCCCCGATAGCCAGGCCCATTCCCTGTCAGCACCTGCAGCCAAGCAGGAGGCCTGGGGACGGAGGAATATTGTCCTGTTCTGGCTTCGCCAGGCCAGGATTAGAACTGCATGCAGTGCAGCATCTGACACTCGCTGGACACTCAGGAAGGACGAGACGGCCCTCCTCCTCCTGCCACCCAGAGCCCCAGCCTCCTCCCAGCCCCCCCAGGCTCCCAGAATAGCCTGCGGCCAGAGCTGGCCTGTGGTAAACAGCTCCAGAGCCTCTGGGTAGGTCTTGGATGAGTAATCCTTAGCAAAACATCGTGGGATCCAGAAAGGTGCAGGTGCCAGGCCTAAGCTGTGTGGGCCCCTCCAGTGCCCCCACCCGGACCCTCCGCTGGGCCACTCCAGGCCAGGCGTGAGTAGAGGCACAGGTGGTGCTCCCCTCTGTCCCATCCCAGGAGGGCATCCAGGAGGCTGGGACGTCCCCCATCCATGTGGGAAGGAAAACCCGCCATCCGGTTGCTGATGGGGCCTCAGGGCGTTGTGGGGGGCCCCTGGGAGGAGGTGGGAGGCACATAAAACTCCATCTGCGGGTGGACTGCACACCCCTCTGGCCACAGCCCCCAGGAGGCTTTCTCCTCCACGCCATCACACACCCCAAACTTTGTGGCCCAGCATCTCTCTCCCACCCTTGTCCATACATTGTGGTGCACCCTTCGCAGACGAGCACTGCGTGAGTTCCTTCAGTTCTCTTCCAACATCCCCTGCGCAGCCATTCAGACAGGCTTCCTTCTCTCCCCTTCTTACCCGAGTGGCACGGCTCTGTGCTTCCTCTCACACCTCACTACTTACGCACAGCAGCCTCCTTCTCCTGGGTCAGCCAGGCCAGCTGGCTGCTCAGGGCTCAGGCGTTGGCTCCTCTGAGGAGTCCTGGGCTCCGACCAGCTGTTGGGCAACGCCGGGACGACAGCCTCTCCTGTCTTAAAGGGCAGGAGGTACTGCGGCTTCTTCCCCTGCCACAGCCCCAGGGACCCGACGGGGACACTCTGCCTCTGCCTCTGTGCGGGGTCATGCTCTGCCTGGAAAGCTCCTCCTTCCTTCCTGGCCCATTGGAAAATCGCCATGTGTCCTCTGGCCAGTCCCAGCACCCCCAGGTGGGACCCTAGCAACCCTGCACCTCCCACTGCAGCCCTGTCTCCCTCCTCCTCGCAGGGCAGCTGCCAAGCCTCACCCAGTCCAGGTCTCCCCAGGCAGGATCCCTTGGGGGAAACCTGAGGAGGCAGCTGTTTCCCCCACCCCCCAAGTGTCCTCAGAGAACCCCTTCCAGACCCCAAAGTCCAGAGCTCAGCCTCAGGTTCCCTCACTCGGGTCTGGGAACTGGAAGCCGGTCCTGCTCCCCTCCCCAGCCTCTGCCCCATTTTTTTGTTCGCTTCCATGTAGAGCAGACCAGAATATGCCACCCCAAAATATGCCTCTTTGGCATAAGCATTATTTTGAGCTGCTTATTTTGAGAAACTGCAGCCACAGGAGAAACTCTGCAAGCAAGCATGGAAGCTGCTCTTCTGTGAGAGAAAGTCACATCCGTACAGGAGGTGCCTCCCTCCCTGAGCCAGAAGGCCGGCTGAAGTCACCAGAGATGCTCATCCACGGAGAAGGCCTGACCCCAGTTTGGGGTAATTTCTTGGGCCCCTCCCCACACCCTTTCTCTGTTTCCGTTGAACATGGTATTTAAGCCTGAGCTCCAAGCCACGTCTCTGAGACATAGTCTGTCCCCTGAGTACGTCCCGTGCAGACCAAGGTGTACATGCTATTAAGCTTCTGTTTGTTTTTCTCCTCTTATCTGTCTTGCGTTACAGGGGTCTGTCCCAACTTCAAGGCCTGTGAAGGCTGCAGAGAGAATTGCTTTTCCACCTTGCAGCACGAAGCCTCCCCCCAGGATCCTCCACGCCCCCAGCTGCTCCAAGACTTTCAATTATGAGCACCTGTGCCCTCCTGGAGTCTGGTGGTGCGGGAGGGGCGGGCCTGGTCCTCAGCCCTCGGGTCTTCTGGCCCTTCATTCCTGGGGAGCCTGTCTGTCCCCCTCATTCCTGGGGAACCCATCTGTCCCCTCATTCCTGGGGAGCTCGTCTGACCTCTTATCCCTGGGGACCCCGTCTGTCCCCCTCATTTCTGGGGGCTCCGTCTGTCCCCCTCATTCCTGGGAGACCCCGTCTGTCCCCTCATCCCTGAGGACCCCATCTGTCCCCCTCATTCTTGGGGAGCCCATCTGTCCCCCTCATTCTTGGGGAGCCCATCTGTCTCTCTCATTCCTGGGGACCCCGTCTGTCCCCCTCATTCCTGGGGACCCCGTCTGCCTCTCTCATTCCTGGGGACCCCGTCTGTCCCCCCTCATTCCTGGGGACCCCATCTGTCCCCCTCATCCCTGAGGACCCCATCCGTCCCCCTCATCCCTGGGGACCCCGTCTGTCCCTCTCATCCCTGGGGAGCTCGTCTGTCTCTCTCATCCCTGGGGAGCTCGTCTGTCTCTCTCATTCCTGGGGACCCCGTCTGTCTCTCTCATCCCTGGGGACCCTGTCTGTCCCTCTCATCCCTGGGGAGCTCGTCTGTCTTTCTCATTCCTGGGGACCCCATCTGTCTCTCTCATTCCTGGGGAGCTCGTCTGACCCCTCATTCCTGGGGACCCCGTCTGTCCCCCTCATTCCTGGGGAGCTTGTCTGTCCCCCTCATTCCTGGGGACCCCATCTGTCCCCTCATTCCTGGGGAGACCCTCCCATCTGTCCCCTCATCCCTGGGGACCCCATCTGTCCCCCTCATCCCTGGGGACCCCATCCGCCCCCCCTCATTCCTGGGGACCCCGTCCGTCCCCTCATTCCTGGGGACCCATCTGTCCCCCCCTCATCCCTGGGGACCCCATCTGTCCCCCCTCATTCCTGGGGACCCCGTCCGTCCCCTCATCCTGGGGACCCCATCTGTCCCAGAGCTTTGCACACTGAGGCCTCGGAATCCACAAGCTTTTTCCTAATTCCCAACACATCCACATGACAGCAGCCCGTCCGGGACTCCGGCTGGACCTCCCTCCGTCCTCACCACACAGCTGCTCTCCCTGCCCCACCCTCAGCCCTCCTCAGCCCCACCCACCTGGACCCTAGGTGAGCCTCTCCCGACCCAAGCCCCAGGGTCATCCCTCTGTCCCCAGCCCCCCCCCACGGCCCCTCAGTCGGGACACAACCCACAGCCTGGCCCCACCTGCGGACCTTACAGAGGCTACTTGGGCCCTCACCCAATGCCCACCTCACAGGACTTCTCTCCCCGCAGAGAGCCAAACATGCCCCTGCCCCAGCCTTGGCACCTCCAGCCCCACAGGCCTCCAAGGGGCTGAGCCCTCAGGTACAAGCTTCTGTGCAAAGCCATGCCCGGAGGCCTTCCCAGACCACAGGGTCTAAGACAGCAATCCCCTCACGCCCAGGGCAGGCGGCCCTCCCTGCCCAGCCCCAGTGTTATTTACCTACGTCACTCCTGTCACCACCTGGCACTCACCTTGGCTAACCGGAGCTCCAGCCCCTTTGGAAGAAAAGTGTTCCCAGAGCCACTCCCTGGTCTCTGACGGGGCCACGTGTCCTCCCCAGGTGCCCTCCCCGACAGCCAGCCCCTCTGCCTCCGCACAAGGGAGGGCCCAGGGAGGCTCAGGACCTGTGTGGCTGTGTGTGTCTACGTGAGTGTCTGTGTGTCTGTGTGTTTCTGTGTATCTATGTGTGTATCTGAATGTGTGTGTATCTGTCCATGTATCTATGCGTATATCTGTGTCTATGTGTGTGTGTCTGTGTGTATATGTGTCTGTGTGTATATCTGTGTATATGTGTGTATATCTGTGTGTACCTGTGTCTTTGTATGTTTATGTGCGTATTGGTGTGTGTCTGTGTCTGTCATGCATTGACGTGTATCTGTGTTTTTGTGTGCATCTATATGTATCTGCGTGTATGTCTTTGTGTATCTATAGATCGGTGTCTATGTGTAGATTATTTGTGTGTCCATCTGCGTATTGTATGTCCATGTGTGTCTGTGTATCTGTGTATCTGTGTGTCCGTGTGTGTGTGTCCATGTATCTGTGTCTATGCAGGTATCATCTGTGTGTCTATGTGTATTGTGTGTCCATGCATATATCTGTATCTATGTGTATGTCTATGTGTGTGTCCATGTGTTTCTGTATCTACGTATCTGTGTCTACATATCTGTGTCTATGTGTGTATCATCTGTGTCCACATGTATCTGTGTGTATCTGTGTTTCTGTGTGTGTCTATGTCTGTATCTGTGTGTCCACATGTGTATATCTGTGTTTCTGTGTATTTCTATGTGTGTATCTGTGTTTCTGTGCGTATCTATGTATCTGTGTTTCTGTGTGTCTATGTGTGTATCTGTGTGTACATGTTATTTTTTTTTGTTTTTTGTGTTTTGTGTTTCTGTGTGTATCTATGTATCTGTGTGTTTCTGTATCTATGTATCTGTGTGTTTCCGTGTGTATCTATGTATCTGTGTTTCTGTATCTGTGTATCTGTGTTTCTGTGTGTATCTATGTGTATATCTGTGTGTTTCTGTGTGTGTCTATATGTGTATCTGTGTTTCTGTGTGTATCTGTGTGTGTTTCTATATGTGTCTATGTGTGTATCTGTGTGTTTCTGTGTGTCTATGTGTGTATCTGTGTGTCCACATGTGTATATCTGTGTTTCTGTGTGTTATCTATGTGTGTATCTGTGTGTTTCTGTATGTATCTATGTGTGTATCAGTGTGTGTCTGTTTTCTCTTTGTTTTCACAGTGTCCACAGACGGGCAGACTGAACCACCAAATTCCTCCTCAGAGCCCAGTAAAGGCACCAGGCAGAAGGGTCCGGCCGAGGGCTGGCCGCTGTCTCCTCACTCCTCAGTGGGGTCCTGTCTTCTGACTTTTGTCACGTGCTGCCGCAGCCTGTGGACGCCTGGTCCCCACGTGGAGACGGGCTTGTGGTCCCTCCTCTGAGAGCCTGCTTTGTGCCCGGCCCCGGGCCGAACTTTGAACGAGGCTCCTGTCTTACTCGAGTGCTTATGTTTTGGGGAGATAAACAATAAACAGGAACAGAAGAAAGTGTCTTCAGACCACGGCGGGTGCTGTTGGGAAAACAGTGGTGGGGCAGGGAGGGGTGCTTCTGAAGGATCTGGCGAGGTCAAGGTCACTGTTCTGAGGGGGCGACAGACGAGCTGAACTAGGATCCTGTGCAAGGGAGGGAGGCGTCCAGTGGTGCACACGGGTCCAGATAACAGCCGGGCTCCTGAAGAACCTACTCTGGGGAGGGGTGGGGGGCAGGAGGCGAGTGGAAGTAAGTGCCCAGGGAATCTCCACGAGGCCCCACACTGGATAATGGTGTTCCATGGGGTCTGGTCACCCCCATATCAGCCCGAGACACTAGCCACAGCTCTGCGTCGAGGTCCTGCAGGCCACGGGAGAGATGGGGGGGCAGAAGCCTACAGAACCCCAAGTCCAAGGGAGACCCTTGCTGGGCTGGGAGAACACAGGCTTCTGTCCCTGCTGTCCGCTCCCCTGGGACTCTCCCTGCACCCGGGATCTTCCCCCTCACCCTTCTTGGCCTCTCTCGGTGACCCTGTCTACACACAGATGTGCTGTCCATGTGAGTGGAAGGAAGGATGAAGTCCACTCACAGGGATGAGGCTGTCTCCCAGGGGGGCGGCCCACCTCCAGGTCACACCGCCCCACCCAACACAGCCTCCAGTCCAGCTCCAGGTGGGCCGCACCCAGCCCTTCACTCACTTCAGATGGCCCGAGAGACATGGATTCCACTGACCAGCCCCACTTCTCCCCTTATAAGTATCTAGTGGGTGCCCACGGAATGCCAGGCATTGGGCAGGCTCAGAGATGAGTGAGTCCTCAGGAACAACGAGCTCAATGTCCTGAATTCACATAAAGGAAACTGAGGCTCAGAGAGGGCAGGGTGGGCCCAGGTAACAAGCCAGCGAGTGAAAGAAAGAAGGGGGGCCCAGGCCCTGCTCCCAGCCCACAGGCCTGGACTTGCTGCAGAGGCTGCTGGCCCAGGCAATCTGGGCACTGGGGAAGCAGCTGGCTTGGGGGACAGGCCTCCTCCCACACACTTACCTCCCTGACTAGGATCTTAGGCTGACATCCACCTCCCCTTATATTCCCTACTGGGGGCTGGGGGGCCAGAAGCTGCTGCTTGCAGAAGCCACATTGTACAAGCACCGCTGCCCTGGGTGTGGGTGACAGATGAGATGCACTCGCGTGCACACACATGCATGTGCACGCACATACAAACACACACGCACGCACACACACAAACACACACTCATGCACATGCACACACACACGCACACACACAAACACACACTCATGTACACACACACTCATGCACACGCACAAACACACACGCACACGCACACACACGCACACGCCTGCACTCACACACCCCGTCGGCCCCAAGCAGGAAGGCGCCCCCCGCACACCAGCCCCTCTCTGCGCCCCCAGCGGGCCCGGAGTCCGGAGGGTTAAGGCGGGCGCGTCCCCCGGGCGGGGCCGGTGCCGGGAGCTCCACTGCCCTGGCGTCCCCTGGGTCCGGGCCGAGTCGCTCCCCGGGTCTCCCGCGGGGCCGCCTCCGCCTCCTCTTGCCGAGACGGGCGTGGGGCACGGGGTCGCCGCCCGGCGGGGAGCTCATCCGGCGGCGCAGACGCCCCGCGGCTCCAGGGAGGGACTTGGCCCGGGCCCGGCCCCGGGCTCCTCCGGGGAGGAGCCGAGAGGCTGCAGCTGGCGGCGGCGGCGGCCCTGGGCGGGCGGGGGTCCCGGGAAGCGGCCAGGCCGGAGCCCCCCACTGGGCCGCAGCTGCTGGCCCGGCCGGAACCGAGCGCGCCCCCACCCGGCCTCCGCCGCTTCCCTCTGCAAACCGCGGGCCGGAGGCGCCCTCCCTCAGCGGGCCCGGAGCTGCAGCGGCGTCGCGGGGCGCGGCCGAGGGGAGGAGGAAGGAGAGCGCAGCGCAGCCGGCCCGGGCCCAGCAGTGACTCGCGGGGCGGCGGCTCCGCCAATCTGCGGGCGCTGACGCGGGGGGCGGCTCCGCGGCGCTCGATATCTGCCCGCCCGGGGCGCGGGGCGCCGAGAGGCTCGGCCAGGCGGGAGCTGCGCTCGGGGCGGACGCTGCACCTGCCCGGGACCCCGCCGGCCGCTCCGCGCCCACCCTTCCGCCCTTCGCCCTCCCAGCCCCGGTCTCCCGGGCGCGGCGTGAGGGCAGAGCCCGGCCCGGAGGAGCCGCCCCTTCCCCGCCCGCCCGGCGCCTGGAGCGGACCGCGCTGAGGATTGGGTCGCCTGCGGCCGCCGCCACCGCCGAGGCCCGTCGCGCCCCGGCCGGGATGGACCCGCGCGCCCGATGAGCCCCGCGCCGGCCGCTGCGAGCGCCGAGCCTCCCCCTGCTGCGGCCCCCGCCGCCCCCCGCGCGCCCGGCCCCGCGGACCAGGACCCCTGCGCTCCCCGGCTGAAGGCGCGGCCGCTCCGGAGAGGCCGAGCGGGGACGGCCCCGAGATGGCGCGGGGACCCAGCGCTTTGGCGGCGGGCGCCCTGCACGCGGTCCGGGCCCGGGCACAGCCCCGGAGCTGGTAGCCGCCCGGCGCCGATGGACCTTGACCCGCGAGGCGGCGCCGCGCTCGTGCCCAGCCGCAGCTAGAGGGGCGCGAGGGGAACGCGCTCCAGGCCCGGGCCGGCCGCGCGGCCATGAAGATGATCCTGGTGCGCCGGTTCCGCGTGCTCATCCTCATGGTCTTCCTGGTGGCCTGCGCGCTGCACATCGCCCTGGACCTGCTGCCCCGGCTGGAGCGGCGCGGCGCGCGGCCCTCGGGGGAGCCCGGCTGTTCGTGCGCGCAGCCCGCGGCCGAGGTGGCCGCGCCCGGCTGGGCCCAGGTTCGGGGCCGCCCCGGGGAGCCCCCAGCCGCCTCCTCCGCCGCCGCCGATGCGGGCTGGCCCAACAAGCACACGCTCCGCATCCTGCAGGACTTCAGCTCCGACCCCTCCTCCAACCTCTCGTCCCACTCGCTGGAGAAACTGCCGCCCGCGGCGGAGCCGGCCGAGCGCGCCTTGCGGGGGCGGGACCCCGGCGCCCGGAGACCCCACGACCCCGCGCACCGGCCGCTGCTGCGAGACCCCGGCCCGCGTCAGTCCGAGCCGCCGCCCGGCCCCGGCGGAGACACCTCGCTCCTGGCCAGGCTGTTCGAGCACCCGCTTTACCGGGTGGCGGTTCCGCCGCTCACGGAGGACGACGTCTTGTTCAATGTGAACAGCGACAGCAGGCTCAGCCCCAAAGCGGTGGAAAGCCCGGACTGGTGAGTGGGGGCTGGCAGGTGCCCACCACCAGCACGGGAGCCGTGAGCCCAAGGCACGGCGGAGAGAGGTTCAGGGGCCCCGAGAGGCCGCCCCCCAGGGAAGAGGCCGGGCAGGGAGTGTGGTGTGGGAGGAGGCAGCCGCCCAGCTCAGGGCACTGCCTTTGTCTCCAGAATAACCTTCTCCTTGGGAGGGGCTGCCGGGTGGTGGGAGCTGTGCCCCTGTGGCTGCTGGTGAGGAAGCCAGACCCTGCGCCCTTTAGAAGCGAGTCCTGGCCATCAGCTTGGGAAATGGGGGTCAGGCAATGAATGAATGGGTTGGTGAGGGAAGGAGAATGGCCTTTCCCAGGGAAGGGGCCGGGCTGCCGCTCGGCTTTCAGACACTTGGCGAGGGTGCTCTGGGTGGGTACCTTGGAGAAGGTCTGGATGTGCCTATTGAGTCTTTTAAACCCAGTGGCTGGGGCAGAATGATCAGAGGGGTTTGCTGGCAGCCATGAGGTGCAACAAAGGGGCCCACCCAACAAGGGCGGGGGTGTGCTGGCTGCAAAGAGAGGATGGCTGGATAAAGGGCGAGAAGCCACGCAGGGAACATCTCTTTCAACTGTCCTGGCTGAGTCCTTTCCCCACCCCCCAGCCCTTCCCTCCGCCACACAGATCAAAACAAGCAGATGCTACAACCCGAGGCAGTGGAACATTAACCACGGCAAGGCCGGATAAGTAACTCCCTGCAGAAGGTTACCCCAGCAGCAGAGGGGAGGCCAGCCTCCCAAAAGATCTCACTGCAAATCCCTTCTCCCCTGAAGTGTGACCAGGCCCAGTGCCTTCTGTCTGAACACACTGGCTGTTTGGAAGCCTCTGAGCCCTGCCTGCTGGTCAGGTTCAAGGAAATGCTTGGAAATTTGAGAACCAGAGCAGCGGCCTGGGCTGTGGCTCTCGGCAGGGCAGGGAGAGACGGCCACCCAGAGCAGTGAGTGGCCAGGAAGTGGATCCTAGCCCCCCTCCCACGTCCACCGCAGGACAGAGCTTGGGCAGAAACCTTCTCCACTTTAGGTGAATTCGAGCTAGGACAAGTTCCACATTTCCCTCCAGCCCAGCAGGCAGACGGAGGGTCTGTCCTTCCTCCAGTACCGTCCCTTGACCCCAGAGATGTGAGGACAGGCTGCGTGGGCGGCGGGTCATCCATGGGAGCCTGGGCTGGAGAGAGTGCTGCCTCTTTCCTCTCTCCCCACCCAAACTGCTCTCATTAAAATCAAATTTAGCCTCTTGCATCATTCTGCCCCTGGTTGTTGGAACAAAAGCAGAGAGCCAGGGAAGGTTCCTGACAGACTGGGCGTGTCTGTGATTTTCATGCAGTCTGCAGTCAATGGTAGGTTCTCCCCTCTACTCCAAGGGAGAGCCAGCAGCCCCTGGTACCCCCAGCTGACATCATGGTGGGGCCATTTCGGTGACCCCGGGACAGACATGGCGGGGACGGCAGGGCAGTGCTGACGTCCTGGGATTAGTCTTGCTGTAGTTATAGCTGTCTGTGGCATCTCCAGAGGGTGAATAAGAATTACAGGCCTTTCACCGTGTTATTAGCTGGCAGCAGAGCAGCCACAGAAGAAAGTGCAGACATTGCAGGGCCCTCTTTAAGCAGAGGCACCTTCCACAACATCTGCACTGACTTGAACCCAGAGTTAAAAACATTGGCGTCGGTGGCCTCTCCCCCGTCATCCGGCTCACGGGCCTGTTCCTTCTGTGCTGATGTTCATCCCCGCTGCTCCCTGCAG